TTTTTTTTTGACATTTTTTTACAGTTATTTTCTTTTTTTATTAATTATTATTTTAAACATAGAAAAGTTCAATCTCAAAAAAATATTAATATTTTGATATTCGATTACTGACAGAGTCAAATGCACTACGTACAAATAAGAACAAAACAAAATTGCAAAAAAAAAAAAAACAAAAGGATTTAAAATGTAAAACAAAATAAATTCTGAAATTGTTGACAATAATCAGAATTAAAAATTTGGATAATATATCATAAATCATATATATATATATATGTATATGTATTTGAACGTGTTGCGTGCATAATGTTGCAAGTTTCTCGAAAAGGGCGTGCGAACAAAAGATCATTGCTTTTTATTTTTTTTATCCTAAGAATTCACGTGATTATAAATTACCTTATATCATGCTATTGGAAAATAATTGATCTCATTCGATATATTATATAGTATAGAATATTGTGTTATGTGTTGAAATATAATATATTGTGAAAACTGCAATTATATTTTCGTCTGATGATCGTTCATAAAAATTCACGTTTATAAATAACACAAAGTTGAATTCAAAATCATTGCTAATAATTGATTCTAATAATTAAAGAAATAATTACATAATTACAATGATCTTCAATGTCATTTACAAATGATTTTATTTCATATATTATTTATAGTATTAAAATATATTATTGAAAATACTTACAAAATACTTCAAATCTGAATTGTTAGTTTTGTTTGATAATAGTGCATAAAGATTTACGACTGGGATTTTTATTGTAAAACTACTAACGATGAAAATGAAAAAAAAAAAAGAAAAGAATAGAATTGCATATAATTAAATACAATTTATGGGTGTAAGTAATGTTCCCTAAAGGACTAGCAATAACACCCCTTGGAGTCCTTGTTCACTCTCGGCAAATGTTCAAGTAAAGTTTTCTCTCGTTTACCCATTAACCTATTTAACGATTTTACGTCCACGACTGTCTTTACGAAGACAAGCAGTATTCGTTTATACAATCACGATATATATATATAATACATAAAAATTTATATATTATATATATATATATTATAATTAATATATATTTARTATTTAGATAAATTTTTGTTTAAATTGAAATTTTATATTTAATTTTTATAATATTAAATATTTTTATTATAATATAAAATTTATATATAAATAATATCCTATCTTTCAAATTGAATGAAACTGCACAAAGTGTGCAAAATTTTATTAAAATTGGTTCAGTAGTTTAGGAGTACATTGCGCACAAACAACGTGACACGTAATTTATATATATATTAAGATATAATATATAATTTATAATATAAAATTTGTATTAAATTTTTTTTAAATTTAAAGTTAATTAAATATATATTAATTATATATATATATATAATATAAATTAATAAAAATATAAATATATAATATTTATAATAATTAATATATAATTACTATATATATAATTTAAATATTATATATTTTTCAAATATAAAATTTTGGTATATATAATTATATTATAAATATATATATATATATATATATATATATATATATATTATATATAAAAAATATATAATCCAAATAATTATTTTTTTTTCTATCTCTCATATACTTTTTCATGATAATAATTATCATTTTTAAAATCATATTTCTCCTTGAAATTTATTTCATTTAAATTATTATTAACATTGCTAACATTACAATTAAAAATATTCCAATACAACTTTCAAGATTGTTGGTCAATGATATTCAATTTTTAATTATGTTAATAAAATTGTATTTAAGTTTTTCATGATAACAATAGTTATTTTAATTAGTTTCATGTGTTCTTATTACTTTTCTTCTTTTTTAAGTGTACGTTTTCTTATTATACCAGAAATGTTGGTAGTAATATCTTTTAACATATACAGATCACTATATAACTTGTTCACGTGCGACCATGCAACAACAACTTTAGTATATATATATATGTATATATATATACCTTGAGTAAGATTTCAAGTCGAGATTTCAAACTTGATCTAATTATTTAACACGTGACTATTTCTCTTCACGTTTCCTCACCTTTCTTCTATTTCTTCTTATTATAACACACCACACAGGTATTTAACAGTAGCAGAATTATAAAGTTTTTTTTTCTTATGTTTTTTTCTTTTTTCTTTGATTAAACGCACGTTAGCCGTTTTCTTATCACATTCGTCTTTTTTTTTTATTTTTATACTTCTTCACCCTTTAATTACATCAGGGTTGTTCTTTTATGATGTAATAACTTAGGATGGTGTGGTACTACACATGTTATAAATATTCATTCTTCAAGGACATCAACAAACAATCACGATGCAATTTTTTTTTGTTTTTTTTTTGTTTTTTTTTTTTTTTAATAATAAATTAATAAATGTTTTATCACAAGCACAAGGAACTTCAATGAAATATAATTTCAATTTACAACGGTTGTTATATTCTTAAGGTATTATTTGATTTAAGTAATGTTAATAACTTGAAATTATTTAATTTTAAATTTTAATTTATATTTCATAAAATTTACAATTTTAGGTTTAATTTTTTTAAATAATATATAATTTTATTTAATTTTAATTTTAATTTTAAATTGAAATTTAAATAAATATAATTTTATTTAACTTCAATTAATTTAATTTTAAATATTTAACTTAAAATAATTTAATTTTAAATATTAAACTTTAAATAATACAAAATTTTATTTAATTTTAAATATTAAACTTTAAATAATTTAATGATAAATTTCACTTTAAATAATTTAATATTAAATTTCACTTTAAACAATTCCAAAGTGTTTCTCTTTTAAATTATTATATTTTTTTTCTTCCCCCCTATAAATACGAATATATATATATATTTTAATATTAGATAATAAAATACTGAATATTATTTATCTTCGAAATATATAAAATAAAAAAAAAAATGAAATACAAAATACACGTAGAAGACACGTAAATAGTTTTTTTTTTTGTTTGTAAATTTTCTATTTTTCTTTTAACTGACTAGAGAAAGTTAAAGTAGGGGAAAGAAAGAGAGAAAGTAAAGTGAAGACAAACGAGATAGATAAAGATAATAAATAGGGTAAAAAACGTGAGATAGAAAATATAATATTATATATATATATATATATAAAGAGAATGAGCTTTTTGCGTCCGTTTAGGATTGCGAGTCACGAGGCACTGACTAAAGTTGTAAGACACATCCAGGCCAACTAGGGATCGAGCTTTACAAGTTTGCAAGCTCAACTTATACGTCTTAGGAATTACCTTCCACACCTCTCAACCCTTTCTCAATTAACCCTTATTTTCTACTATATTTTTTTTTTTTACCATTGTTAATAATATGTTAAATGTTAATTTGTTAAGACCTGAAGAGGTATTATATATTATTAATTAATGAAATAATATATTTTATTATATTAATTTATTTATTATATTATTGTATTAATATTATTATATTAATTTAATTATTTAATTATTTATTAAATATATACAAATAATTATATATTATAATTAACATTAATATAATTATTAATATTATTATATTAATTAAATAATATAGTTAAATATACAAATTTATTAATATAATAATATTAAGATTAAAATAATAATATTAATTTTTATTCATTTAATTAATTTATTAATTTAATATTATTATATTTATTTATTATATTAATTAAATGATAAATTAATTTAATATAGTTAATATTATAGTATTATTAATATACTTTAGTATATTATTAATTATAGTTTAGTATATTATTATTATAGTAATATTAAAAATAGTTAATATTATAGTTAACTATAGTAAATTAATTTAATATAGTTAATTATACAAATTTATTAATATCATATAATATTAATATTAAAAGAATAATATTAATTGTTTTTTATTAATTTAATATTATTACATTTAGATATTATATTAATTAAATTATTAATTAATTAAATAACATATTTAAATATACAAATTTTATTATTAATTAATAATAAATTAATTCATATTGAAATATTTTTCAATAATATCTTTTTTTTTAAGCAATATTAATAAAATATATTTGTTAATACTTAAAGAGATAAAATAACTATTTTTCTATTTATAGAAAATATCCAATTTCCATATATCTATATATCTATATATATATATGTGTGTTGAATGAAAATTGACGACGGGGTTACTAATATTCGTCAATTTTCAAAGAACAAACTTTCAATCGAACGATAACAAAACGATTATTATTCTTCTTATATAATATCGATCGAAAATTCGATTGGAGTATAGAAACAATGTGTAATACTACTTGAAATGTGAGACCCGTTGAAAATAGCTGATAAAATTGCATCGATAGGTGAACCTTGACCAAATAGCAAACATGTGTTCGTCATCGAGATTAACCTGATCTAATCCTTACAATAAGAATAAGCTACATACATACACATACACAAACACACATATACAAACGCGTTTGTACACATATTCATCAATTTCATGTGAATATATATATATATATATATTCGTGAGGTGAGAAAGGTGCCGTACCTGCGATCAATTCCCACGATTATTATTAAATAGAGATATTATAAACCTTACGATAAGAAACTGAAGGTCATGTAAGGGGATTTAACCTTCTAAATGGAATCCAACAAATGTTACTATTACTACTACTACTACTACCTGTTATTATTCTGAAACATTTTCACGATTCATATTACACATTTACGTGTAATTCATATTTTCAAATGTAATAGTTAGAAAACGTGTATTTAATCGTTTATCTTGAGATATCATCAAAACTCTACTTTCCATCCTTTTTCATTACTATAAGCATTTTGTAAACGAGCTGTCTAATCGTTGAGTGGCTATCATCAATCATATTTGCAGTATATATTTTCGCATGGCAGTGGTTTTCTTTGTAAGATATTATTAAGCTATATATATATATATATTTATTGATTTTAGGTCTAATGCTTTTATTCATGATTTTCTAACACTTTGGTATCATCAGATTCATTAGATCATTGATTTTTATAATAAAAAGCGAATTTTATATATTATTATTTAGATAATATTTTTATGTCAAAATGTTATTTTTATATTATAGATAAAGTATTAATTAATTAATGTTTCTACTTATGATTTTATGCATTAATTATTTTATTGTAAAATATTTTTTTGGTTTTTTTTTTTTTTTTGGTAAAATTGTAGTATTGCAATTTGTTAGAAAAATTAGATAAAAATATAAATTTAGAAAAAAAAAAAGATTTATTTAATATTTAAACTATTATAAAATATATTAGGTCGAGTCATAAATAACTTCCGTTTTTTTTTTTTTTTTTTTTTTTT